GGCCACACCATTCCTGATACAAGCCAGGATGCCATTGGCCCTCTTGGCCACCTGGGCACCCTGCTGGCTCATGTTCAGCGGCTGTTGACCAGCACCCCCAGGTCCTTTTCTGCCAGGCAGCTCTCCAGCCGCTCCTCCCCAAGCCTGTAGTGTTGCCCAATCATACACTGAGCTGAAGTGTAGACTCTGATAGCTTAAGTGCATGGCACAAAAATAACTCAAATGCTATTTTCCCCTTGGGATCATTATTCTTTAATAGAAAGTTTCAGTGTATCTAACGTCAAAGGAAGACAAGCGATTGCTCTGGAGAAGGAACTAACAACAAGCAACTTCTTGGCTCTGAAAGTAATTCTACAACCTCAGATCAGCCACTAAAGCATCTTTTATGTCAGAGAAATTAAATCAGTTACAGCTTTCTGCTTGCTCACAAGACACTGACTCTGCGGAGGACCATCCACACCAAAGCAGCTCAGTGACCTTTTAGCACATGAGGTCCATCACACCCACCCACCTCGAAGTGGTCATCACCAGGCACTCACTCTCACTGGAGACTACATTGAAAGCACATGTAAAGCAACCAGAAGATGCAAGATAAAAACATTTATAGCATTTAAAACATTTATAGCATTTTAAAACATTCTCATCCCCAAGTCCCCCAGCCCAGAAGAAGACAAGATAACCACAAAGCAGAGTAGAGAAAACTCTGCATCGGCATTTTTCTTCCTGCCCTTTCAGCTGCAAAAGGTGGTCCCTTGAACCCCTGGCAGAAGTAGGCAAGAAATTTCCCATTTTTGTGGTGATCCAGAGTTTCCTTTAGAGGGAAAAGCCTTATTTAACTGAGCTGTTGCCAAATAGCACCATTTTCCTGAAGATCATTTTACAGCAGGAAGCTTAGAAGGATTTGCATTGTAGAAATTCATTTGTTATTCCATGTGGTACTGCTGCTTGGGCTAAATTGACAAAATATTTATCCAGAGGGTAATGCATCCACTTCTGCTCTGTGCCTCCTCCTCATACAAGGCCGTTCCAGTCTGGGTTAGTGGTTTCTCGGCATTGCTACCCGGCATCTCCCCAAAATGCTTTTTTTTTCCTCATCATGGAGTTGCTGACAGGCACCTCATGAGGGCAGCATGTCCTCTTTTTTTCTTTTTCAAACCTCTTTTTCATTAGACCCTGCTCTGCTTCCAAACTGCATCCAAAAAAAGCTGTATATGCACTACAAATGACACTATTCTGCTTATGCTATTTGAATTAACGAGGGTGTCAAAGCGAGCTGGTGGCATCCCACCTCATCACATGCTGGTGCTATAGAAAATATTGCTGCCCTGCTTTGCAGATAGGGAAAAAGCAGCTAAGTAAACCTACGTAACATGCTCAGGATGCCCTGATGCTGGTGGTCGAGGAAGGAATAAATCATTGCAGGTGGCCTGCATTCAACTGCCATGCTTTTTCCATAAATTTAGTCATGTACCCTTTTACTCCAGTTCTGTTTGCCAGAGGGAGAGCTCTGATTTGAGGCAAAGGGGTTAAAATAGGACATAAACTACATAAATGCATGAGGAAGAAGAGGTGACAGTGGAAAGTCCCCTCTCCCAGCCAGTAAGGAGGCACAAACAGGTACAAAAACATGTTGAAATCCCCCCAGTTACTTTCCTTCCCTTTTTAACAGGCAAGTTTGTGAGCCTACTCCCAGCCAGAAGGGAGGAGAGATGCATCTGCCAGGAAGGGGCAAATATAAGAGTGCAAGACGACTGAAACCAGAAAGGGCTGATAGAGCCCCATGCAGAGGAAGGGACGAGGTTATCAGGACTCTTGTAGACATAATGAGGAACGCGAGGAGGGCCGGGAGGTCTTAAAGCACTGGAGAAGTGCAAATCCACATTAAGGTCAAGCTAAAGAACAGCAGAGAAAGAGAAGGTTGCTGAGCTAAAGGCAAGACAGGTTCACAGGAAAGCAAAGATGTCCATTTCTCAAAAAAGACTGTAAGAACAGCTTTATCAGGGATGGTCTATCATGGGCAGGAGCCTGCCTCTTGTTATGGCCAAGGAAAGATGCCTGGACAACAAGAAGGCAAGAGTATAGTGATACCAACCTGACGCTGTCCCAGCAACATGTAGCATGGTCACCACTGAGTCAGAGGTGATAACTTTAACTTCTGTTAACATTTAGGTTATTTTACACTACAATCTCTTTTGTTCTGGATGCTGTGTACATCAAAGGCAGCCCTGCCCCGAAAAGTCTCTATGTTACATAGGAAAGGGCATAAGTAGGAAAGTGTAGGTGCAGGGGAAGGTACCTATAGTACCAGGACACCCCCAGCAAGTCTTCCGCTAAATCAGTCAAAATCATTAAACACACCACAAGCCAGAGATGAATTTTAGGTAAGGTTCTTACCCCTCTGCTCCTAAGATTGGCAAGAGAAGGGAAAACCAACTGCAGAAAAACAGCTTGGAAGGAGTCATTTGTCCATGAGCTCAGCTCAGAAGGGTACCTGAAACTTGTGTGAGACTATCATGTCTCGCACTGGTACCTTGGGCATAAGATGAGATCAAAGGAAAATTCCCCTTTTATAGACTGGTGGCAAGTGGGTAGAACGTGACAATATTCAATAGTAATCTCATGTTAAACCTTAATTAAAGGGACTTAAAGAGTTTTGGGCAGAGCTGGTCCCACCTTGCAGTATGGACAATTACAAGACATTTATTAGGGCAGCCCTTTGCAGGAATGGATCCTGACTTGGAATAGCTCCCTTGCTCATCTGCTTTAGGGGGATTTGCAAGCAGCAGTTGTGCTCTGATATAAAACTTGATAATTGAACACATTGCTTGGAAAAAGCTCTGCAAGAACTGACCTCCTCCAGTTTGTGCCAAGGGCTTAGAGGAGAGCATTCATGGCTTTCCTTGCTGTGCTTTTCCAGCCAAGTCCCTGGAAACCCAGCCTTAACATTTTCTAGCAGAAAACATAAGGACCAAATCAGTTTTACTAAGGGTGAGAAGGGGAGGTTAGCAACACAGCAGGTTTATCTTCTAGAGCAGGAGGCTTCCAAAGTCCATTGCCCAAGCCTGAGAAGGACAAAGAATAAGTTTAGCTTTCACCTTGAAGAGCAGCAGTGCCAGCCTGTGAAAGTCAGCCAACACTGATGGACCATAGCTCATAGGTCAGCCCCGGCCCAACAAACAACAGGTTAAACCTTCACTTGTTACTAAAAGAGCCCACATGAACTTTATAGCAACATGTGCTATTTCTGGAGCACTTTGCACCTCCAGTGGTGGAAGGTGAGGGGGCTCAGAGGAGCTGGAAGGATTTCCTCAGCTGAGGACCAGGGATGCAATCCAGCTCTTTGTGTGCTAGGCAGCAACAAAACCCAAAGTAATTTGCTGAAAGGAACAATAGGGCATGAACTTTCTGTATCTGCTCAGCAAAGGAGGTCCATAGATGTAGTCTGCCTTCGCTCCTTATACACTGATAGGCAAAACCCCACCTAAACCCCCAAAGATTTGCTTAGCCTATCCTGGGTGTCCCATGCAGGGACAACACAGATTACTGTGGGTCTGCTTTTGGACAGACAGACCAGTTTTCTCCCCATAAAAGCCAAGGCACAGCTGCAATCAGACAAACAATTGCTGTAATGTGAACCCAGCCACATACCACCGCAACACCAACAAGACCAAAGCAGCCCGCTATTTTTGCCCAAGTTTATTTCTAGAAATTTGTACAAAAATTGATACTCTGTAATACAATAGTCTATCAAATATGACAGATGAACATTTGTCTTTAGAGGCAAGATTCCAGGAATGTGAAGTACCGTCCTCTTGCGTGGTAGAAAGGCACATTTTGGAGCTCAAAATACACTCAACTGAACCGTTGAAAAGGCAGGTCAGACATGCAAGTAGTGCAATGTTTCAGGTTTATACATAAACACGTTGTACTCTGAAGAAATCTCACTACAAGCAGTGTTAACATCCACGTAAACATTTTATAAACACTTTAAAAAGTCACTGACTTTAGTTCCTATGCATGAAAAGGCTACTCCTTTACATTCACTGGACGGAATATTTAAAAGCCATCTTTGGGCAGAAGTTACTCCTAGCTTTCCCCAAATGCTTTTGGGATCCAAAACACTCCCATGAATAGTCCCACTGCACTTACCCATACAGGTTACCCTAAGGGTCTGCAACACTGGGGCCACATGATTGCACCATCCCACCGCTGCTAGAACTTGTCCTTGGAGTTCTGTGGCTATGAAGGAGTCCCATATTTCCAGCTACATCCCTCTGTGCAAGCAGCACCTGGGACAGACCTGCTTCTAAACTGACATTCAAAATACAAGTGGTGAGATTACAGCCACCAAAGCATCCACCACATTGTATGGATTGAGGTCCACCAAATCCTTTGGTTTCCTGCAGTGCACACAGTAGGTGCCACACCAGGTGCCACACCAGGAGATTTAGCAGCCCACTTGTGCTTCCAGAAGGGGCTTTTCCAAAGCAGAAATGCCCTTGTGCTATGTAAGCCTGTCTCAACACGGCTCTTGTGCAACACGCCTGTAATACTGCCATCCCAGTCAAATCAACCTCCTGCTTTTTTGACTGAAAACCAGATGGATCCTACTCTCCCAAAATAGCTTGTGCTAGTGGGTACAGTAGCTGTAGGAATGCTTCTAATCCATTGCTAGCAATCCAACAGCATTATATAGCAGATTACAAAGGCAATCATTTCCCCCATCCAAATCCTCACAGCAATGGAGAGTTATGCTTTTTTTGATAGAAAGACATTTGTAATGGGATTTATCCAAAAGTAAAGCCTTTTTTTTATTTTTAAAAGTGGTCTAGCAACACTTTAAACACTTTCTTTGAAAGACACATACACCCACACATGCTTTCAAGTACACGATGACAGCTTGGACTCCTGGAGAAGATGTGTTGATTCTGAGAGAAGGTGGTGCTGCCAAGCCAGTCCTTCAGTTGACTTCCAAGACCTCAGTCTCTGGCAGACCAAATTTGCTCTTATACTTGTCGAAGAGTTTGATCAGAGAGTCCACATATATGCTGTGGTAGAAGTCCACTTCCCTCTGGGATGGATTATCAATTTTGGGGATGGTGATGGGCTCCCCAACTGATAAAAAGAAGGAAAGAGCCACATGTTAGGTTGAATGCTCCTGTACAGCCTAGAGATTTGTCCTTTATGGCCACGGCTATGGTAGTTCAGCACATACACCCTGGCATTGCACAGCTTGCCATTATAGCAGAAGTTTGCTCAACTCCTCCCAGTTTTGCCAGGCTCTGAAGCACAATCACCCCACTACCAGGACCCTCATGCATCTGCAGCGATACCCAGGGCAAGCGTGCCATTTTAGCTACACAAATGCCAGCAGCGCAGAGCCTCCACTGCACAAGGCGGTTGGGAAGTCCCACTTGCTTCTGTTCACAGCAGAGTGATAAATCCCTCCTCAATTAACAGGAACCAAGACTAAAACCTGCAGCTCTCATGTATTCCCCCATACACACCACAATAGCAAAGAAGCACTTTTTTCTCTCCTTCAAAGCCTTGCTACTTTGTGTTGGAAGACTCCAAGGCAAATTTTAGGGTTGGCTTTAAGACCCAGCTATCAGACAGCATCACACTGCCAGTCCTGGGGGGGACACAACCAGGCTGCTTCTGATTTCAGCCATCCAAGACCAGAGAAGGTAGCAGCTACAGCATATTTTCCCCCCAAAAGAGCTCACTTGCAAAACTAGCTGGCAGTAGAGCATGATGGGAGGCTTGCAGCCTCTGGAAACTATTCCAGCTCGTTCTCAGTTGTGCTGGAAGGTTTTATATAGAAGGGAAAACAGAGTTTTATAGTCAAGACTCCAAGACCAAGCTAGAGTAGGGGCATGGCATAGACTCAGGTATGCTACTACCTGGAGAAGCACATAGCATGTTTATACCAAGACCTTACCAACAGTAGTGATGGGCTTGGGGTAAGGTAACAACCCCCAGGTGTTGGAGGAGAAGAGGCCACGGCCATGGAAGATGCATGGAGCAAAGCCAATGTGCTTCTGAAACTTCTTCTGCACCCATCTTCCCCAGGAACCCTCCTCAAAGATGACCTGCTTGTACACTTCATTCTCCCCAAAGGAGTAGACAGGAACCAAGTCCGCGCTAGAAAGACAAAGATATTAGGACCTGCACCCCTGGTCTGCAGTCAATACTACCACACCACACTCACTGCCACGTACTCTTTCAGGCTGCACATTTGCAGATTTTATTGGCCAGAGCTTTTTTTGCAGTACAAGGTACTGACATAAGTTAGCCAGACTTGACATGATATAGTAAATATACTTTTAAGGCATGCAAGAAGACAATTGTGCTGGCAATAGGCCCATGAAACACTACCCAGTCAGGCACTGAATGTGCTTCCATATATTCTCATCTCTGATTTTTGATGGACACCCTATTTCAGACACATGGGATCCCTGGAGATCACAGGGGCTGCATAGGTGATGCCCCGTGCAGGTTGCTGACACCTGCCTCTCCTTGCCCTGGAAGCCTCCCGCTGTCTTAAGCGGCTTCTTACCCCGTCCCCTGCTCAGGGGCAGAAAACAGAGGACAGACTCATCTATCCGATGCTCTGAGTATATATCCACACAACACAGCAGGACTGCAGAAAGGAGAATCCATCCAAGACATCAGCTGCTTCAGGGGATGAGAACACCTTTCGTATGCTAGCAGGACTGCTCTAGCATTGAGGTTGCCTCTTACCCATGACGTAGAGCCAGTTTCACAAAGCCTTTCCGGTTTTTCAGTGTCACTGAGTTCTTCCCTGGGGTGCAGTTCAGGGACTCTGCTGCCCCTCCAACCACGATGATGATGGCATTGCCACTGCCGTTCTTGGACAAGATGTAGTCTATGCTGTCACGATTCACAGGACATATACCTGCACATCCAAGAGACAGACATAAGGGTCAAACTGCAAGATTAAGAATAGCCTGGATGATCCTGAAGACACCAGCCACACTTGGAGCAAAAAGTTCATGCCTGGACTGCAAGCTGAGTTGTCCAGCTTCCCTGTGGTCATGGAGGGTTGTGTATATTATCAGGCAACCTGCGCCTCAACTAAGCAAGCAGCTAATAGACCTGAACAGCACTAGACTTGGTCATAGACAGACCCCACCAACACCAGCTCTCAAAACGTTGCCTTAACAAAAAAGACTTCAGCAAGGATTTTCTTCTGCTCTTAGTGATGCCAAAGACAATTAAGACATCCTCCCTCCAAGCGAAGGTTGCAGTAGGAGCTGGGGGGAAGCAAAGCAATTGTGTTATTTTGATGCATGAGAGTCTGAATTTGAACAGTTCCTCAGCAAAACCAAGTAGTGGAATAGGTCTTCCTTCAGGAGGATGGTTTAGTGATACAAAAAGAATAAACTGGCAAGCCTTCCAAAGGCAGATCTATTATGGATTAATTTAAAAAAATATTTTTTCTGAACTAACATCTCAAGCTTTTGCATGTTGAGAGTGCAATAGGACAGAGTGCTCAGGTAAGTCCATACTCTGAGATGAGTGTCTGGGAAGGTCTTTCCCTCAACCCCACACTGGAAGGGACAGGACTGTACTACCAGTCACAGCCCTCCAGCTTTACAAAGCAATCCCTGCCCTAAAGCATCAGGTCCCACTCCAGGGATCTTACCATTCAGCCCAATGGAAGAGGGAGACTAATTTCTACTCTATTGCTTTAAAAATGCTAAGAAGTTTGATTCTCTACTCCTGAAACTCATGCTTGTATCCTACAGTTATTGTCAGAGCTTGCTCATGCCTCACATTTTTGGCCAGGATAAGCCAAGGAGAAGTGAGATGCCATCGTTTACACTCCTATCCACATGTCTGAGCTGTGTCAAGTACTTAAGGTCATTGCACTAGGAAGGGCAGTATTACACAATTTAATTTTAGAAGCTGATTCTGCACATCTCATGGTAGTCATCACTTAAACCAAGAACTAAATGATGAATGGGTCCCCTGGGATTATACAGGGCAAGTCTGCAAGCCTGCATGTGTATCTGGGTATCAAGGGCACCACCTAATCCCAGCTCCAGACCACAACTGAGACAGATCAGCTGGATTTGAAGATGAAAAACTGATTTCTTTCAGCACAGCTACATCTCTCTGACCATGCTTCCTTTGAAAGCCTCAGGCTTTGCTGCTCTGTAGGACAGACAGAAGCCTTCGTACTACTCCCATTCGCCACACCAAGGCTCACTCTGACTACACAGCCCTCGCTAACAGGGCAGCATAGATTTATGTTCAGCCGTTTCACACTTGTTAGCCGGAAGAGATTACTGCTGCTCACAGCACTGAAATCCTTCCTCCAGAAAATGCACCGAGACATGCAGACAAGTGGCAATTGCTGAATTGTGCTCTTCAGCACATTTACACAGTATATAAGATTTTCTGGCCATCTCCTCCTGCTAGAGGCTTC